TTAAAAATATATAAAATAAAAATGAAGACAATTTTTACTGCACTAACCAATGAAAAAACCTGTAACATCTTTTATAAAAACCTTGTATTTAAAACTACTTAATACTTGCAATGCCATGATCAACAAATATTTTTTATTAATGAATTTTAAGCAGTTTATGTTAAATATGGTTATAAATTGCGAACATAATACATTTAATTTTTAATTATATTCATAAAGGTATAAAGCAATATTACATCAAACACAATTTATATCAAAACATAACATGACAGATAACTCACTTAAAAATCAAATGAAAGTAAAATCTTCTTTTAATTTAAGTGTTAACAATTGATGTGATAATCATTTTTAATCTTGAAATAATCAATAAATACTTGGATAATTAAAAAAAAAAAACATTAATTGCAACCTTCTTTAAAGAGTAATCTTTTCAATATAACATTTCTGACATAATATTTTGCTGAGATTGAAATATTACGGTTAAACTAAGTTAATGCAGAAAGAGCCAAGATATTATAGAGAAGTTACAAAATATTACATTAACAAAGTTTTAAGATACAAAACATAAAACCAGAAAGGATTTATTATATGTGAAAAGTAAATGTAAATTACTCTTTGTAAGGTATAATTAATAAGCTTTAATTATTAATTTATGGTAAACTTCGTACCAATGGGAAACCAATCTTGGCAGAGTGCTCGTACTTCCTCCAAATCATCTGGGCAGAGAAAACGTAACTGGACATCACCCAGAACACACAGAGGCACAGTTGCCGGTATTCTGGAAGCTTTTTGCTCATCAGACGAATTTCTTATAATATTTTGATCTGTGTATTTATGTTTATTATCTTGAGATATTTTGAAGTCACTTTTTTCAATTTCCGGTAAAATAAGATACCGATTAAATGATACGGCCATCACGCCACAGTTTTTCTACCATTTCATTAGTCATTTCTTTAATGATGTCAAGCATGTCACGTTGCATGTAAACGTTTGCTAGTAAACATATTGAGATCCGCAGACATTTTGCCTCCCCCCTCCCGCCGCCCAACACACTATGTTCATCCTTCTCTTTCATCCCTTATTTCTGACATACAAGATTGAACACAACCTCAAAAGCATGATTATACATAAGTCTTTTTTGTAGAAGTTATAAGTGTTAACGTATTATTTGTTATATTTTATAAAAAATAGAATAAAAGAAATATATTCTG